CCATGATGCCGCCGTGCGATGTGCCTGCCAGACAGACCCGCCTGACTTCGGCGTCCCATCCTAACCGTGTCAAACTTCGTACATCCAGAACTGGCCGATACGACCACTCCTTTGTCCCGAGGGTGTCTAGATTGTGGAACAATCTACAAGAGGAAGCTTCTCCCAGTTATACTAACCTTAGGCAGTTCAAAAATCGTATTAACAAAATTTCTTTGGGATCATCATAGCAGCCGCGGTGTTCCGGCATTCAGGCTTCTGCCTGCGCGGCTGTTTCGATATATAAAAAAAATAAAAAATTACCTACAAAATTGTTTCCATTACTTTTTTACATAGGATTGATGGTTTTCAAGATTTTCAAAAGCAAAGCCCCATCATGCCGCCAATTTGAACTTTACTGTCGCTGAAATTGTAGGATTTCCTTATAAAAAACCTCCCTTTTTTGGCCTACGTGACGAAACACCAACATCCGGCCCCACTGAGCGTAATTTCAGTACTTTCGTTCACTTTGCGGTGCCACCATAAGCAGTACTACCAGACGTATACTTGAAAAAGTGACCTGCGTCTCTTAAAACGAAAGTCGAAAAAGTCACCCATCACCCGTGTCAACAGCCTGAAAAAATGAAGGATAACAATAGGTTGCGCCGTCGCGAGGCAAGACTTTGGCTCGCTGTGGCACCCTGTCGCGCTCATAGTGCGATTCTTTTCATTCTGTCGTCTTGAAAACGCATTGAAGCGGAACTAATTCGCCTCGCCGATTTGCGACCATCCATTTTTTCTCTTTCCGCTTATGGGTTTCTAGGAAGAATTATGGCCAAGAATTTTCAAAGGGTGTGCCACTTTGTATGGTCGGCTATCAGCTTCATTTTACGAGTATAAGACTGACAGATGTCAAACAGTATGTGATTTAGAATCTCAAATGCGGTGGTTCGTGTTTATATAGCGTTATATACCTTGTCTTGAAGGCTAATTCCTTCTCACGCCTACTAGCGAAGGAAGTATTGTAATCGCGAAAAATTTCGAAAATGGGAAATTGTATTTTTTGGATGTTTTATGACATGTACATCACGAAAAACCGGGTCACTAATTTCCATTGGTCTGTATGTCTGTTGGTTAATCCCAGGCTCGCCTATAACTTGAGGTACATAAGGTTACTAATGTACCGAGGACGAAAAAGCTTTGTAGTTCTTGGAAATCGGTCCAGTGGCGGCCGAGAAAAAAATAAAAATTGCTCAAACTTGTTTTTTGACGTTTCAATTCATTTTTTTAAACTTTTTCGGGGGTAAAAAATTTGCGATGGGTGGTTGTACAGGGATGAGGGAGGATGTATTTTTTGAGGTTAGTATGATAATACACTTCCAACTCCAGTAATCCTATGCCCCTATTAGACATTAGGGGATCATAAATATTGCATCTTTGGTAGTGTATCCGAGGGATATAAAATCAAGTAGCATCGATACCAACATCTCTTTGATGTACCGCTAAGCGACCGAACCTAAGCCAACGCCAACGGTCGGTAGGAATCAGTTGGAATACATTGGCGTACGATCGCAGCTGCCGTACACATCGCTTCCAACGCATACGAATATTAGCGGTACATCAAAGTAACGTTGGCGTTCGTTGCATTGTAACTTAGTCTGTATGCGCCTTTAGAGGAATGCTGGTGCCAAATGAGAGTCTGACAAAGATAGAAGATGCTACGTACGTCCACACATCATGTTTTTCCCACTAATTCTTAAATACTCCAATTTATCAAGTAATATGGGACGTTTAAGATGTCAAAATAATGAGAAATAAATACAATCACAACAATAAATTCAGTTATAACTTAAACTTCGTTCTCACTCTACGAGTAGTCTTCCAATAATGATGAAATATTAAAAAATACATAAGGGATTTAATAGCCGTGACAACTCTGTATCCAGCAAGCCAGAGAAGCTATAGATGAATGTACATATTCATTGTTTCCCTAGGGATTTGTTAATTATCATTATTTTATTATGAAATATAACTTCTCCTTAGATAAACCGATTTCCACTAGTGTCCTTTATCGCTATATTCAAGTTCAGTCAGCACTTTATATAGGAACTTATGGCATTTTTGTGTCCTATATGCATCCGAAAGATTGCTCTTATTCTGGGGCACATTGAATATTGGTCAACTTGGTTCGGTCTTTTCTATACGTCAAACAAAACCACTTTTCTCTTTCATATCCTGTTCTACATCTTTTAGTACGTACTCGATCTTTACTGGATTGTCAGCCATTTAACAATGGTCTTGTAATCCTTTTCGTTGTCAGCGTATTCTTTATGACAATTGGGTACAGTACTCACGTCAGTGCATTCGTTAGTGATTATTGTGCGTACTGAGAAAGTAGCTGTTCAGACTACTGCTTGGCTCGTCTGTCTCGTCAAGTTACGACTTACAACCATACACATTATTTTTCTTTTCGGTTGCAATGCGAAGCAGAGTATGTGGGTGAACCAGGCTCATTAAATTTGATTTAATGCCGATCTTGTTTCTGCCACTTTTGATCTGAGAAATCATTGCTTCGCCAGCGATGGTACTTGTTTCTTCCTACGCTAACAGGCTAGGGCTTTGAGGATAGGCGAAAGGATGTATGTGATATATGACTCTTGATATTCTATTTTTAATGACAGTTGCTCAATGATGTCATTATTGAAACATATTTTTAGTTGAACATGATGCTTTCATCCGTCCAACCAAAAAATACAGTAAACCATGGACAATTGTTTCGTGCTTCTTGGCTACTCATCAGCATGGTCTAGGCTGGTTCTTTTGTCTCTGGACATGACTATGACAAGCAAGTTGTCATACACAAAGAGACATGCATAACGTGGAAGAAAATCTTCAAACTTTTGTCAGTGAGCTTATGTATATATCTGTGAAAGAGTAATTCCTGTAGTTTTATTGTGACCTACCAAAAACCGTGAGCTATAGATTGTTTAAGAAACTTTTACAGAACTGATTTCGGGGACCTGTCCAATGTCAGGTGAGATCTGCATATCATTTATTGAGACTTCGTCCACGGATAAAAATTCATGGAGCAATGGAAAGTCCGTAGATAATTCTAAAATTATTTTGTCCTTCGATATCCTTATTCTAGACATATATGTCGAGCAAGTCTATTATCAGTATCAATATTTTATTAAAATTATATCTCAACCTTGTTAATCTGTATGTATAGCTATCCATTATGAGATATGACTAACCTTCAGCTTCAACGCAAGAATTCAACCTCCCCCGTCATTTCAGCGCAGGTCTTTGAAAAAACTAGATCCGTTATTATCGGGATACATTTAGCGTTTATGCAATTTCTTAAATCTTCATATTTTATCGCTGTAGTTTAAGTTCTAAGTTAATGAGTTGTAGATATTTCCAAAGTGACAGTCGCCTGGTATCAATCAAATAAAACTGCTTTTCCAAAGGAATAAAAAACAGCGTCAATTAGGTTGATTCCTACTTTCTACGCAAATTTCTTAAGGGCAATGCAAATCCTGTAAGAAAAAATCATTCACGAACATGTACAACATAAAAATTAAACGGGTCAAGTCAGTCAGTCAAAGTTGCACGTACAATTAGTCCATAGACATTCTTTTCCCACCGCGGTACCGCTGCAGCGAATTATTGTTCATTGCGTGTATATGTTTTGAGCGCTGCAGTACGGATAGATAAGTCAGCCGGACCGGTACGCTGGGCAGTTGACTCAGACAGCGGGTGTAAACGAATTGAAAACATATATCATTACAAGTTTTAAAGGTAAATGTACTGGCAAATCCATGATGTCCGAAATATGGCTAGTTGCTGCATAGAATTACCGGGGTTGGGAGCGTATAAATATACTAATATTTACTAAAAATGCATGTACCCTCCCCTACCCCCTACAACTCCTAACCCCCGAAGTTGAACCCCTACAATTTTTTTTCTGAAAATGATCAGGAGCCTCTGAAAAAACGAAGTTTGAGCGATTTTTATTTTTTTTCGTTTTTTGTCCTCCCACTCTGCCGCCACTGGACCGATGTTCAAAAACTACACAACTCTTTTGTTTTGACATAGTGATGCCTGTGTGGAAATTTCATCCAAGTCCGACAGTCACTTTCCAAGTTATAGGCGGTCCAAGGATTAGCGGACAGACAGACAGTTCGCCGGAAATGAGTGACATGGTTTTCCGTGATTTACATGTCAGATTATAACATCCAAAAACCATGGGCTTGATTCTAAATGAGTTTCGACCGTTGGAATTGATTTCGATGGCGCCTTGTGACGATATACTTGATTTGCTATGATAATTATGACATCTGATTATATTGATCTTCTATATTGAAATTATCATGGCAGTGTCAAGATTATCATAGCTAATCAAGTATGTTGTCTTAAGGCGCCATTGAAATCAATTTCAACGGTAGAAACTGATTTAGAATAAAGCCCCATATATCATTATCGAAATTTTTCGCAATTACAATACTTTTTCGCTCAGTGGCGTAGGAAGTAAAAGATTCTTCTTGAAATAGTCAAGAGCGTCATGGTTACGAAACACTTGCATTACAGTGACTTGGCGTTAATGGAAACTCGGATCCATCTATAGTAGCGCCCTATACTGAGGGAAAAGTAGCATATGTAGGTAATCAACAAAATGCCGCTTAGGTTTCGAAATTCAAAGTACTTACAGGAGAGAGATGAATAGAAAACAGAATTTTCCGAAAATTGGTTCAATTTTTTCGTGACTTTGTAGTGTGATTTATGGGAGTTATACTCCCCGTTTCTTGAAATTTACCAACGTGCTGATGGCGCACTGAACACGCGCAGGTTATGTTTGGGGTTAATGTCTTTCTTGTATAAACAGACTTTAGTAGACCATAACCAAGACTAGGTATATACGATACTGAAAATTGCTAATGAGCATGAAACAACGTTGTATGAGGGATGTTTTTTAAGTTTTGCATATGAAAATAAAACAACACGGTAGGTAGTTTTAAATGACTTTATTGTTTTTCGAAATATTCTCCATGAAGATTAATACACATCTGCATGCGGTCGAACCAATTTTCGAAGCACTTATTCCACTCGTCTACTGGCAGAATCAAAACGGCATTTTTGAATGCGTCAACTGCTTCTTCTGGTGACTGGAACCTTTGACCACGTAGTTTGTTTTTAATTTTCGGGAAAGTAAAGAAATCGTTAGAACTTAGATCGGGACTATATGGAGGATGGTCCAATAATTCCACGTTTTCTTCCGTTAAATACTGCCTTGTTTTTTGGGCTGTGTGCAAGTTTGCATTGTCTTGGTGGAGGATGATTCTTCTTTCGGGGTTGATTTTTCGAAGCTCGGTGATGACTTTTGGCAAACAAATGGTGGCATACCAATCCGCAGTAACAGTTCTTTGCTCATTAAGAGGAATTGTTGCAATATGACCCGCTTTTGACACAAATGTCGCGACCATCTTTTTCGAAACACTTCGAGAACGGATGACTTTTGTTGGCTTTTCTTCACCTTGGAATACCCAAACAGCCAACTGTCATTTATTTTCTGGTTCATAACAGTAAATCCACGATTCATCACCACTAACAATGCTATACACATTTTTTGAGTTTCCGGAATTGAAACGGTCAAGCGTTTTTTGACACCAATTAACACTGGCTGCTTTCTGCTCTTCAGTCAACAGCTGGGGTATCCAACGAGAAACTAATTTTCTTACTCCTAATTCTTTATGTAAAATTTTTTGAATTGAGGTCTTTGAGATCTTCAAGGACGCCTCAATCTCGCGATATGTCACATGTCTATCTTCAATGATGAGTTTGCGCACAGCATCGACGTTTTCCTGGGTGACTGCCGTTTTTGGTGCACCCACCTTGGGATCGTCGCTAAGGCCCGTATCGTCAGTCGTTCCTACAATTGTAGGGCGCCTTTATGGCCTCCTTGATTGTCATAGTCTTCTGATTCTCCGTGTCAGCGCTCTGTTTTGAGGTTATGTCACAAACATCTATTTGCATCAAATTGTGCTTGCTTTTGAGTTATCATGTTTTATCAGCCTGAAATTTCCTACAATTTAAAAAGAAAACATATCTTCACAATAGGAGAGCGCTGACGCTGACACGGGACAAGTGTAATCTAGAAATTTTTGAAGGAGAGAAAGGAGTATGACAGTCACGGAGGCCATAAACGCGCCCTAGAATTGTAGGGACGACTGACGATACAGGCCTTAGACTCACCCGTCCACGTTTGAATTCTCCATACCAACGGGAAATTGTCGACTGATGTGGCGCTTCGTTGCCGAAAACAGACAGTAACTCAGCAGGGCATTCTTGTTGCAATAATTGCCTCTGAAAGTTGTAATAAATTATGGCGCGAAAATGTTCTCGGTTGAGTTCCATTTTTCTAATGACTTGGTGACACTTAAAAATTCACTGTATTGAGAACACTGCACGTATTGTTGCGAAACTTTGAATTTAAGTTTACTAAAGAGTGAGGTTAAGATTCAGTACTGACGTTCGATCCGCGCGGCCTACTATGTTTCTATATGCAAAACTTAAAAGACATCCCTCGTATGTAATTAGTCAAACTGAAAGCAATCAAATCCTACTTAGGCCGTTTTTGTTTCGTTCGGCTTTTTGTCGACTTTTTTATACGTATATATGTTCAGACCACCCCACAAAAAGACCTAGATTTCTCATATGTATGAATATTATTTTGATAGGGAAATGTGATTGATTACTTGCATGTCGAATGTCACTTGTCTTTTAACTAGGACCATCCAAAACGAAACATTTATTCCCCGTTGTAAACAAAGCCACAAAGCGCTATATGTGCAAACACAAGGATGAGATCCTTGATATTTCGTGTAGTCAAACAGAGAATCCTCATGAATATTCATGCTTACGTTGTGCGCTACTCATAACGACCAAGCGACGTCTAACAACAAAGGAACTTCGACCTTTTGTTACACACTCCGAAGCTGACGCGGCTGCTTATGCCCTCCGCCCCTCTGCTGACCCCTTGTCTGTGTTTACTTGCCACACTCGACAGATTGGCCATGTGAAGGAGCAAGACGGTGGAGTAGCTTGCAAAATGTGTATTACCTTGGTCTCAGTATACAGGGTGTCTGAGGAAGAAACTTAGATCTTTCGTTACCTGCTGCTGCTGTCCTTCGCTCCTCTGCTAACCCTTGGTCTTTGTTTACTAGCAAAAAAGAAACTTAGACCTCTCATTATACAAAGGATACTCTGCCAAGTTTCACCCGGGAGTGCGGGAGCCCGAAGCCCTCAGAAGGTCCTCATCGCTAGAAAACCGTTTTTCTTTTAGCTTTATTTCACATGCGGAAACAGTGTAAAGTCGCAGGAAGCAACATCTGGACTGTAAGGAGGGTGCTCAATAAGTTTCAGTCCAGTAGTAGTCAAATACTCGGTGCAGGGTTTGGCGAGGTGAGCTGGAGCGTTGTCATGGTGGAGGTACCGAGTGTCCATTCTTTGACTTTGGCCACATGTTTTTCCGACTCTTTAATTTTAGTCAGGTACTGTTCCGTGTGCCACTTAACCGTGACTGTCTTCTGTGTGTCCAAAACGACACGCTCCACAATCCCGCTCGATTTGAAATATACAGCTATCATTTTTTTTTTCTTAACAGATCGGGATTTTCTGACAGCTACGGGTGTGTCCTCATCATCAAATATCCAGACTTTGTTTTGAGCCTTAGTCGGCACATCGTAATAATATCGTCAAGTCTCGTCACCTGTCACAATACTGTTCTTACCGAGATTGCCCCTTATCAAACATTTTCAGCATCTTTCGGCACCAAGTCGTACGACGAGACCTCTGCTCTTCCGTTAGACTATGCGTTACCCAGAGAGAATAAAGTTTCCTTACATGTAAATGGCCATGCAGAATTGAATGAATTGCTGTTGCATGAAGTTGTAAGGTCTCCTCTATCTGATGGTATGTCTTATCTAATAATAATAATATTGGTAAGTTTAGCTTGACGGCTATTCTTCCACTTAAGCACAGTATGGACGAAACATAACACAAGGTTTACACACGCAACATAAAACATTAACAGAACAGTTACGAAATTATACTATATAGAAGCTTAGCAAACCAAAAGAAAAGAGTAACATCAGAAACAGCACTGCTGTCCTGTCCCCCTTGGGTAACTCAGACCACGGTGTTGTGGAGGTTAGGTTTAGGTCAGAACCCGCTGTGGCAGCAGAAATTACGGACATGCCGACTGGGAGGGGCTCAGAGACTTCTTCTCTAGCTTTCATTGGAGAGATGTCAGTTTCACTGACGCGGATGCGTCGGCTGTCTGTTCTTCGATAACAGAAATTATCCACCTCGGAATGTGTGACACTGCTCGCCAGCAGAAGATCAAGGCACACAGAACCTTCTTACAAAACCTGTAGAGAACAGACAAGCCGACGTCGAGTCCAGAAACAAATATAACGAAGCGGTTTGCAATGTCAAACACCAGCACGATATAAAAGTTAGGCACAGGGTAATGTCGCAGTGCAATGGCAGTCGGTCTTTCTGGACGCTGGCCAAGCAGATTGAAAAGAACTTCTCACACAGTAGCCTTCCACCACTTACGTGTCAGGATAGAACTATTGTATTCGACTCAAAGGCCAAGGCGGAAGTGCTAACCAAGATCTTTGCTGCCAACTCCAACATGGACGTTCCCCACAACGCCCAAGTGCCGTCAATTCAAAGGGTTCCCTACACTATGCGGGAAGTAACATTCAGGCATAAGAACGTAAGACGAGTGCTCTTGTCTCTCGACATCAACAAAGCTTTTGGTCCGGACTTGATTCCTGCCATTGTACTGAAGAGCTGTGCAGCGGAGCTTGCTCCAGTTCTTTCGCATCTCTTCCAGATATCTTATGAATCCGGCACCTTCCCAGAAAACTGGAACTTTGCTCATGTCCAGCCCATCCCAAAAAAAGGATCTAAGACCGACCCTTACAACTACAGGTCTATAGCTCTGCTTTCTGTTATAAGTAAGGTGATGGAGAGGTGCATAAATCGCGAGCTTCTGGACTACCTCGAACGTCACAGCTTGATTAGCGACAGGCAATATTGTTTCCGGCACCAACGGTCCACAGGGGACCTCCTAGCTTACGTCACGCAATTGCGGAGTAAACTCATCCAGTTTTATGGTGAGGCTCATGTCATTGCTCTTGACATCACGAAAGCGTTCGATCAGCTGTGACACGCTGCTGTCTTAAGCATACTTCCATCCTATGGCCTCCCAGAAAAGCTTTGCAGATGGGTGGCTGACTCTATCTCTGGCCGCAAGATATCCGCCGTAATTGACGGGTTCTCCTCTTCATCCCACAACGTCAACGCGGGTGTTCCCCAGGGATCGGTCTTGGCTTCTCTTACATATCAACGACCTCCTTTCCTGCACCATCAACCCAATCCACAGCTTCGCTGATGACAGCACTCTACATGCAGGAATTCTGAGGGACAAGCCGATCTCTGCTGCTGAGCTGGAAAAAAGAAGAGTAGCGAGGACTTCCTCTCGGACAAGAGGCCTGGAGGCTATCACTGCTTGGGACCGCAACAATGTTGTACAGTTCAATGCTTCCAAAACACAGTACTGTACTTTGACGAACAAAAGGCGTCCTAGCGCTCATCCAGTTTCGATGGACGGCCCAGTTCTGCCAAAGAGCAATTCATTTCGGCTGGTCGGAGTCCAGATCACCGAGGACCTGATCTGGCACGAACAGATCTCGTCAATAGCTGCAGCTTCTGGGATAACGCTAGGCTAATTGTTTAGGTCTAAGAAGTACTTTTCTCCGCATGACCTTCTCACTCTATACAAGGCCCAGATAAGGCCTAGCCTCGAGTATTGATCGTGCGTTTGGGGTGCTGACGCCCCGACTACAATATCCATGCTCGATGCTATCCAGAGGAGGGCGGTCCGACTGATCGATGACTCTTCTCTTGTAACGCTTCCTTTCCGCAAAAAGTCCAGAAAAGATGGAATGCAATGAAGATTCCAACTTTTCTGCACAATCACAGAAAGGGGGTTACAATTAGCTTCCGGTAGCTCAGTCGGTGGCATGAAGACATCTACAGGCGTGTAGCTGTGTGTCGACCATGGCATGGCTAGAGGATAGAAGAACAAACAGAACACAAAAATTTAACAGATTTTATTTAACAAAAAAAAGGCATTTTCATTACATTACAATTTTACAAAAATAACAAAATAAGTTTTACATCTTTGGCGCTGCTATAACGCTATCGACTTATCTTTCGCTGGTCCATTTTTACTCGACTGAAACCAGGATGGCCAGGGGTTTGAAGGGGAGGTCCCAGTTATGAGGGGTGACCTCCATATAGTGGCTTCACAACCAGTTGTAGGCGAAGTTAAAGGCGATGGCGCTGCCAAGGCACATGCATGGGTGAAAATATTGGCCAAGGCTAGGCAAAGTGAAAGGGAAAGAGAAAGGGGGTGGCCCCAATCTGAAAAAGAACCGTGTGCATTAGCAACGTGCCCTAATGGCCAAGGCATTTCCAATCTCAGTCTGCCTCAAAAGAGAACCAACGATTTTCTAGATTAGAATTACATTATATAGTTTGATAAAATCAAACCGAAAATTGGAAATGCCTTTCATAAAATAAAATCATGAAATAGCAAAAAAAAGCGTAAAACAAGATGGTGGTCATCAAAAATTTCTCCACATGCTTCTGATATAAAAACATAATCATCGAATATTCATAATCAACGTACTTATAATTTCACTGAACTATGAATATATATATGCGCACAGAGGTAAAATCGATGTGGATCGATTTCCACCTCGATTTGATTAAAGTTATGGCGAATGATCGAAGTAGTCGAAAATGACGTTCGATGGATATTTTAAAATCGTACAAGAAATAAATCACTTACATATCGATTATCTATAAACTACAGGCTGATCCAGTATAGTATTATAAAACTCGCCATTTTTGTCCTATACGGACACACATTCTAGATCTAGCACATGGTGCTATATAACCTTGTGCTACTAAGAAGAAATTTCTAGCCGTTGTTCGATCGGCGGCTCAGGTGAAAAGGAAGCGCGAGGAAGATCGCAGATCAGGAACTCCGCATCAAGCGCTCCAAGCGGAAAATTTTCCAAGCAAAAAAGCTAGAGATGGGATTAATGAAATGATAATCGAGAAGTGATTTAATAAATACGATCGGACGGTGAAACCGTTACACTCGCCCCAACTTAACCAAAAAAAAAAAAAATCGAAGAAGCATTTAAGAATTTTTTTTTTTTTTTACTAGGAAATTGAAAGTTATCACGGAAGGACAAATGTACAACCATTCGACCAGATAACAAGTAGCATAAGTAAGGTAGAAACAAAAATGTTAGAAGAGAATTGGAAGA